GCTGCCCAGGTAAACAAATTTGTCTACTACCTCAATCGGTTCATCCGCAAGCATGAGGTTAGGGTTCGAACCCACCCAGTCTTGCAGTAGCACTTTAAACTTTGCAGGTGTGAAGCGCATACCAAACCACGAGGCAGAACTATTTAGATTATTTAGTATTGTTTGCATTACCACCATTGTGATCATTACTACCATTGTGATCAACAGTATCCAGGTATGGGATTGGAACGTACGGTGGGTTAAAAGCTCTGGCTGACCCCACTTATCCTTCTGTTTTGATGTGCGTACCCCAGTGGTATATAAGCCCACATGCAATCAGGAATCGCACGAACAGAAGAAATCTCACACTATACCGGTCGTCGTGTAGTCATGATTCGGATCACCTTAATTATCTCATGTATCACAAGTAAAAACAAACTTGCTTTTATTTTCCCATGTCCATTATTCCCCCTATGCATACCGTTGCTAACATCTTTTTTTATAACAACAGATCCGTTTTAAATACAAAGCCAGGCATAACTCGGCCAACAAGGCAAAAACACTTCGGGACATGCTTTAAACACCTATGGTCGATCCATCTGATGGAATTTGAAGGTCCAGGTTTCGAATCCGACGTTTGCCCTTCGACTTCCTCTGTTTAGGCTTGGGTAGCATAGCAACCAGACACGGAAAAGGTGTTACAGCTGAACTATTATTTATAAAGTCGTGGATGGGGTATTGTGAGGGTAAATTTTGTATGAGAAAACAACAGGAACCTATTTAAGGTTGTGGTAAAAAATCAGCCTATGAATGATGCACTTATGTGTCAATCGCAGACCATTTTTATGCAGCACCGACTTCCAAAACAACCGAACCCGCTTGGCTGCAGTCCCCAACCCCACCCCAACAATTCAGCAGACCTCAAACAAAAGATGTAGATCACCTACAGACTAAGCTCATTCTGGAACACCTAAGTTAACTGTGATCATATACTCATATGTTGCTGATTTCATTTGAGTTTTCTGTGGGTACGCAAGGTACGCACGGCTCACCTGGCCACTGGAAAACTCTTGGATGAAGCGACTAATCAATCCCCTGACGTGGACTTTCGACGAAGGGTTTTACCCACAGCCCTACAAATGATACACAATCTGCATGCATGTAAGCTGTGAAGCTCAAGATTCTAAAACTGTGCGAGGGTTGCACACACCTCTGCTGGTCAAGAGTGCGACACAATTCCGTGAGCCGTCATATGTCAGTCGAAAGATGGATTCGTGTTTACTGGGAAGTTTTTAGGGTCCAGAATGCTGAAATATGGGGTGAGACATCGAAGATACGCTGAAACTAACCTAACT